AAAACGGAACGTTTTTTTCGAGAAGCCGCAGTCAGAGCCAATAATGGACGCCCAGCAAAGTAAGCAAAATCCTTGTTCTTTTTTCTTTTTTGACAAATTCGTGTGTTCCAGTGTCAATGAAAAATGCACAAATTAGTCGAATTTCTTAAAGTTGGTGCTTCTGTAGATTTTGCTTGCTGAATTTTGTGAATTCTGAAAAACTCGACCACTTTTGAACATTTGCTCAGTGTATTAATGCTAAATGAAACTTGTGAAAACCAACGCCCGGCATATAGGTTCATCTCAGTAACATTTTTAACATGGGATTCCCAGGCAGGTTGTCCAGGTGAACTTGGTATTCTTGGTATTTCTCGGAGGTAAACTTTATAATAACTATTAAATCTAATGATGTTGTTCAAGTGATTTTGAATAGTGCCAGTTGCTATGACGGAAGTGAGGCGCAGCGTGGTTTTAGCCTAGCGGAAGCAATCAAAATGTAAGCTTTGCTATAGATTCATGGTTCCAAATAGTTGCCATTTTCGCTGCAGTGCTCGGCAGAGTTGCGTAGAGAGCAGTATAATTAAAAAATAAAAAGCTTTATCTATTTTTGTTTGTTCCATGAGCACCTTTATTTTTTTTTGTTCGAAATCTATTATTTAATAGTTAATGACTGGTAGCTTTGAAGAAACTGGAGTTCAAAGATGTGGGGCACAGGGACGGAAATGAAGCTTCCGGCGCCTTATTTTCCGAAAAATCGGCACACCAAAATTACATATTTGTGACATATGGGGGCATCGAAATACGATGCCACACTGCTTCTTATACACAAGATTAAAGAGCACCGATTAACTTCTAAAATTCAGCAATCATCCTGCAAAATTATTATGAATTTAAAAAAAAAAACACAAGAAACAGTTTGTGCGCATAATAATTGGCTCGGTAACGAGACTTGCATTTATACCCTAGCTTTACTTAGTAACATTCGAGCATTACTTCCAGATTTTAATGTGGCACAGAACGCACATATTTCTAGACAGCCGTCGATAAAGCAAGTTTTTCACAAAATTTCCCTTGTTTTAGTGCAAAAACTTCATTTATCATTTAGCAGAAATTTCTGCCTTATATTATTATCCAGAAATTATAGTACATTAGTCCTTGTACATATGGAAATCATAATACATATATCAGTTACGGGAATTATGACTGAGCACAACGGCGAAGTATGGAGAGATGGGGTCTGATTTTTAACGGCTTCAAAGTTGATTACATCTAA